GTTCGTGCCACAAGCGGGATCCAGTTATTACCCCGTTATTACTATTAATTTCATCTGTTTCCCGGTACTGTTACGAAGTGGCTACCAACCGAGCACGCTGTCCCTCCGCTGCAATCTCGAGACATTCAATTTATGTCGGTGTGTCTAGGGGCCCAGAATCCAGCGGGATAACGATCTCCCGACGCGAGAAGGCGCATCGGAACGTATTCATGCTCGCACGGTGGTACACGCCGCACCACCGTGCATCCCGTCTGTACACCTTCACGTACTACATTCCGTTCGTGTGATCGGAACACACAGTGGATTTGTTGTCTAGTCCACTATGAGCCTCCCCCACACCTACTAAATTAACAGCCTACAACTGTACAGGTCATTTCCAGCCGTGGATGCGAGTGCTGAACTCTTCGTGGAGTCAGTGTTTTGCGAAATCGCCTAGTTCTCTTTCATATATCTCTCTTGGTCTAACTCCCTGCTTCCCACGGTGGTCACGTCACTTCGGATGTTCGGGTTTATGAAGGAGAATGTTACGACGTGGTTAGCTAATTATGGAATTAGAGACGCGTTTCATTTCCAGAGACTCCCTTTCATTTGCAAACAATGGCCAGCTGCTATTGGGTGTCAGGATGTTTGTAGGAACGGATCGTTGTGTAACGGATGGTGTTTGTGGATGTTGAGCAATTTGAGGATGGAAAGGTTGAGAAGCTCGTTTTCGTTGGATTTTTGTTCAGGTCTGACAACGTGATTAGGTCAGCTGTTGATGGAGAATCCTCCTGGACGATACTTGGATTCTCAGGAATATTCTCTGTTGTTGAAAATTTCAATAGAAATTGAGAAGCTTTGAATGGAATACCTATAGGGACTGGAATAATTAGTATCCAGTTTGTAAAGTAAATTAAAATCCTATTAGATCTTGCAGAGACTCCCTTTCATTTGCAAACAATGGCCAGCTGCCATTGGGTGTCAGGATGTTTGTAGGAACGGATCGTTGTGTAACGGATGGTGTTTGTGGATGTTGAGCAATTTGAGGATGGAAAGGTTGAGAAGCTCGTTTTCGTTGGATTTTTGTTCAGGTCTGACGACGTGATTAGGTCAGCTGTTGATGGAGAATCCTCCTGGACGATACTTGGATTCTCAGGAATATTCTCTGTTGTTGAAAATTTCAATAGAAATTAAGAAGCTTTGAATGGAATACCTATAGGGACTGGAATAATTAGTATCCAGTTTGTAAAGTAAATTAAAATCCTATTAGACCTTGCAGAGACTCCCTTTCATTTGCAAACAATGGCCAGCTGCCATTGGGTGTCAGGATGTTTGTAGGAACGGATCGTTGTGTAACGGATGGTGTTTGTGGATGTTGAGCAATTTGAGGATGGAAAGGTTGAGAAGCTCGTTTTCGTTGGATTTTTGTTCAGGTCTGACGACGTGATTAGGTCAGCTGTTGATGGAGAATCCTCCTGAACGATGGTTGGATTCTCAGGATGTCTGCCTTCGTTTTTGTGTTTAATTTAGGTTTTTGAAATAGTGAAAAATGAAAAATTTTTGAAGAGAAGTTTAAGTTTCTAGCACCTTTAACACTAAGGATATTGTTATTCAATCATTGCATATTTATAAATAATTGGTTTATCTATAAACCTTCCTAAACCTATTCTTTGATTCCTTTTATAAACTTCAAAATGTAATATACAATGTATATATTTCAGAAATATTGAAAAGAATTATTTATCTTAATATTAATACTTTCCATAACATTATAGCTTCATATTTATTTAAAGGATATTTAAATATATAATACTATCAACTTCATGTTTGAAAATTATTGTTCCCAAATATCTTGCTAAATAAAAAACAAGAAATGAATATAAATAATTTTCTTACTCTTCAATTTTAAAACTAAAAATATATCTGCTAGATGCATTTGTTAATGAAAAATCATTTTCACCATTACAATCTTAGAGAAAGTCGTAACCTGGCTCAGATTATAATGAAAATTCTATTACATTTGAGAATTACTTTGTCATAAAATCAATCAACGTTCTTACAACTGAGCATAGAGTGTCTGTAAGTATAAAAATAAATCAAACATAAGCACCAAAAATTTTTGCAATTTTATTTTATAAAAATTCGGTTTCTGTGACATAAAGATTTCCTAAAAAGCCTTATCAATTTTTAAAGATTCATCTAATACGAGTGCATTTGACTATTGCTTCACAGATTCACTGCTACTGCTGTACAGTGTTAGGTAGGTCAAGGTAGAACTGTACATCGGCTTTCAAAGCCACCAGACATTCGTCTAGTATTCTTTACAGAATGGTAAAAGCGAATAAAAAGGAAATAGTATAGACTGAAAGTAGAGTAGAACTGTTTAGAATTCGTGGCAATACTGTGTAGAAAAGAAAGAGAAAGACAAGCAAAAGAATAAAAGAACAGCAAAGATGGCAGACACGAGGAGACAACCATGTTGAAATGGAAAACATGTCCGTTTCTAATTCTTTAATTTTAAATACTTTTTAAACACGTTTATCTTTCCATAATTTCATTTTATTGATAAAGAAAATTCGAATTAATTCAAATTAGTGGAAATTCCTTGAGCAGTTCAAAATAAGAATTACAATATATGGGCATCCAAATAATTAAAATATTAATTACTTATTTATGGTATTTAATCAAAAATTTGACTCATAACCTAAAAAGTTGTCGTTGATAAATTTTCAAAATTTTTGAGAAGTTAATTATTATTAGCTATCATAGTGTGCAATGCTTGTGACATAGTAAGATGCAGAATGACCAAGTGCACCTATATTAAATGCATCTTGAAATTTAATTTATCATGAAAATTAAACTTTTCATAAACATATTGAATTTTCCATTTTTAGTTTACTCCTACACATAGAATAATCCTTAAAGTCAGTTGATAAAACAATTTAGTGATGTTTTAAAATTAATTTCAAAAGAATGATTATTTATTATTATAATTTAATATTTTTATTAAGACCAACAATTATATTTATTTTATCTTTTATATTATGGTTAATTTATCCTTGATTAAATTTAATTAATTTTTATGAATATAAATATTCTATAATTTATTTTTTTTTTAACTTAAGATTAATAATTTTTCCTATTTTTATAATTGGTTGATTTTCAAATAATAATTATTCAATATTAGGTTCTATTCGTTCAATTGCTCAAATAATACAAATGGATATCACGTTTAAATAATTCAAGTAATGGCGTGGAAGAAGAATGGAAAATATACAGTAATACAAAGTACGATAATTCAGACAGCACAATGCTATAAAGCAGACTTTTAATGCATAGAATATTTCTTGACCACATAAGTGGACTATACGTGTGAAATTTATACATACCTATAGTGTTAAGCTCTACAAATATAATTTTGAGAAAAATTGACCTACTTTTTTCTTCTTTTTTTTTTTAAATTAATTTTTCAATACCATATTTTGTTAAATTATCTTTTTGGTAGAGACATATTACATTAAATATTTTTAACAAAAATTGGTTCCATTCTTAACAAAACATAAATCAACATATTATTTTTTCAATGTACCATATGTTAATATTATAACTACTGATAACTTTATAACTACTACTACTATAACTTTGATAACTATGATATATATCATCATAACCATATAGGAATAAAATATACCATAGAAAATAAGTATACCGTGGAACGTCAATTATGCCAATTTTAATTATATCAAAGATCGATTATCCAAATATATAGTAGAAATAATTGTGTACTGCATTGCAATGAGTAGAATATCTATATTAATATAATTCTGAGAAAAATTGACCTATTTTCTTTTTTTTTTAAATTAATTTTTCAATACCATATTTTATTAAATTATCTTTTTGATAGAGACATATTTTATTAAATATATTTAACAAAAATTGGTTCCATTATTAAGAGAAAAATTAACCTATTTTTTTTAATTAATTAATTCTTCAATATCATATTTTATTAAATTATATTTGTTGGTAGAGACATATTACATTAAATATTTTTAACGAAAATTGGTTCCATTCTTAACAAAACATAAATCAATATATTATTTTTTCGATGTACCATATGCTAATATTATAACTACTACTACTATAACTTTGATAACTATGATATATATATCATCATAATCATATAGGAATAAAATATACCATAGAAAATAAGTATACAGTGGAACGTCAATTATGCGAATTTTAATTATACCCATGATCGAGTATCTGAATATAGAAATAATTGTATACTGCATTGCAATGAGTAGAATATTTATATTGACATAATTTTGAGAAAAATTGACCTATCTTTTCCTTTTTTTTTAATTAATTAATTCTTCAGTACCATATATTATTAAATTATTTTTTTGGTAGAGATATATTACATTAAATATTTTAAAGCCTATTTGATTTTCTTAAGGCCATATAATTTACATAATTTTCAATAATTTAGTTTAAACAAAAAATTGGAAATATTCTTTAAGTATAAATAAATCGGAACATGATTTAGTTGAGGCTCTCATGTTCGTCAATTTTCAGGCTACCATTTCGACAATTTTCAACAATTTAATTTAAAAAAGAAAAAAAAAACAAAACTTGAAAATATTCTCTAAGTATATATAAATCTGAGCCCGAAAACTGCGCATCAAAATGTATCATGGTTTAATCAGAAAAAAAAATCCCCAAAAAGTGCATTTTTATTGGCGGAATTACAAGAATACCTGTTAATAAACCCTTTTTCCTTCTGAAAACACGCCTTTAGCGTTTTCTAAATCGACATCATTTAACCTATCATAGTCCATCATCAGTGCGAGGCGAGCAGTATCCTAAACTGCGACGCGTAGCCGGAGCCTAGAATCGGTAAGAGGTGAACCAACGTGCCGTGAACATGCAAACGATTGCAACGGATAATCCCCGATTAATAGATCAGTGGGAACAAGCTATTCTAAATTAGCAGTGATTAACGCCTGTCGTAGAGTACTTACGTTTGCAGGCCTTGCGGTGATGGATCGATTTCGCTGGATCCCTGTAGTAACCTTCCTTACAATAGTGACAGTGTCTTCCCGCCGTAAAATGCCGGCACTGCAGACAAACGCCTCCGCTGACACGTCCCGACAGCTTGTACAGTTCCATGTTGAATTTGCACTTTCTTGCGTGGAGATTGCAGTTGCACTCTGGAACAGATACACGTCCGATTATTCGAGCCAACCGGTCCCTCCTTTTCGCTCAGGCTATCCCCGTGCTTTTTCAGCCAGTTCATCGTTACATCGGACTGAAGTAGCTTAAAACAACGCCTTCGCACTGAATAAACAATTTTCCTAAGAATAAATCAATGCTACGAGCTGTCTAGAGGTACGTGTCTCCTTGCTCTGTACAGGGTGCTTCAAAATTACGCGGTCAGGCTTGAGATATAGGAATATAAGAGGAAAAGATGGCCAAGTTTGTTGGTTGTTGAATGGGAAAAATTCGACTTGTCTGCAATTTTTTAATTTCTTAGAAAATTTATATCGTCTTATATCTAGGGATATTATAGAACACGATAGCATTCGCTGTGTGATGTTAAAATATTGCTCTGTACAGGGTGCTTCAAAATTATGCGGTCAAGCTTGAGATGGAAATGTATACTAAGAGCAAAAGATGGCCAAGTTTGTTGGTTGTTGAATGGGAAAAATTCGACTTGTCTGCAATTTTTTAATTTCTTAGAAAATTTATATCGTCTTATATCTAGGGATATTATAGAACACGATAGCATTCGCTGTGTGATATTAAAATATTGCTCTGTACAGGATGCTTCAAAATTAGGTGGCCAGGTTTGAGATAGAAATATCAGAGGAAAAAATAGGCAAATTTGTTGGCTGTTGAATGAGAAAAATTCGACTTGACTGCGATTTCTTGATTTTTAACCCTTTGCACTCGACGATTTTTGGCTAGAGAAGAATAGAAATTCAACGATTCTCTACTAAAAAATTGACGATACTTTTTTGAGCAGTAAATAAAGAATTGTATAATAATAGAATTGTAGAATTATTTGACTTCGATACTTCGCACACTGTTGCATTACATTAAATTTGATATATTAATTAATATCGATCTTCCAAATTTTATGAAATGGTGACTGAAGCTCACCTCTCGAGTGCAAAGGGTTAATAAGATTTCTATCGTTTTATATCTATAAATATTATTGAATACGATGCCATTCGCTGTGTGATGCTAAAATATTGCTCTGTACAGGGTGGTTCAGAATTAAGTGACCAAGCTTGAGATAGGAATGTATACTAAGAGCAAAACATGGCCAAATTTGATGATTGATGAATGAGAAAAATTCGACTTGTCTGCAATTTCTTAATTTTTTAGAAAATTTACATCGTATTATATCTAGGGATATTATTGAAGACGATGTCATTCGCTGTGGGATGTTAAAATATTTTATTGAAAAATATAATCTTTCGTTTTGAACGAAATTTTCGTTATTTTATTATAGTAGCTGGGTTAAGTGATATTTTAGAAATGATTTTACAAAGATTTCGATAAGTGACGAAATTGGATAATAGTTATGGCTGTGAATTGTCTGACATTTTGTAAATAAATTGAATTATTTTGAAAGATACTTTATTTTATTTCTTCTTTTTATACCAATGCTATGGGATTTTTGATACCGTTGCATAAAAAGATGACATATTAGTTTCGAATTATTGTGTAATAATACAAGTGTCTAAGTAATGCCCTACATTATAGATTTATAGTAGGTGTAATAACAATGGGGAATATATACGTGGGTTGTCATTGCAAAAGAGTCGATCACGACATGGTAGTTTTCTTTTCAAAAACTCTGGTACTTAACGATCAATAGTTCAACCGTATTTTAAATTAAACCTACATTTATCGCAATATTAGTTTTCAAAGGAGAAATATGTGTTTACACTTGGCATTATTAACCTGTGCGTTATGACTTCGATTCGGGAAGGAAATTGAAAAGGAAAGAATAAAATATGTTAATGCATTTAAAACTTGTCTTGTAAATAATTCATCTTTCGTGAATTAAATATACAATATCATCTACTAATAACGAATAGGAATGAAGATACAAATAAAAATACAAATTCAGATAGAAATAAAAATGAAAATAAAATGGATTAAATAAACTATAATATTTTTATAGACAAAATGTAATACAAAATATAATAGTTTTGTGTGAATTTTTATAATAGAATCTTTATTTATATCATTATCTTTATTTATATCATTACTAGATATTAAATACAGACATAAACATAGAAATAAAAATAAAAATAAAATGGACTAAACAAACTATAATATTTTTTAAGACAAAATGTAATAGAAAATATAATATTTTTGTGTGAATTTTTATAATAGAATCTTTATTTATCTTTATTTATATCATTATTAGATATTAAAACAAACATAAAAATAGAAATAAAAATAAAAATAAAATGGATTAAACAAACTATAATATTTTTATATATATATAGAGATATAATACAAAATATAATATTTTTGTGTGAATTTTCATAATTGAATCTTTATTTATATAATTACCAGATATGAAAACAGACATAAAAGTAGAAATAAGAATGAAAATCAAATGGACAAAATAAACTATAATATTTTTATAGTTTCTTTTATAAACGTAATACAAAATATAATATTTTTGTGTGAATATTTATAATAGAATCTTTATACGTTATTCACATCATTACTAAACATTATTAATACATTAATAGATGTTTATAGATTATAATAGATTTCGTAATTAATATCATAGTGCACGACAATAAGTACAGCTTCGATATATCATTTTAAATTCGCTATACCATACTGTGAAACGAAATTCATAATAAACCCCTGGGATAAACTTGATACGATAAATATTCCCTACTCCAATGGGATTCCGACGTGGGCTCGTAATTTCCCAATGTAACGTGTGTTACAAAGCAACCATTAGCGAAACTAATTTCTATTAATAATTGGATGTACAATTAAGAGAAACGTACAGCATATTGCAATTATTTAGATTGTGAAAGCAGACAAAATAGCAAGAAAATGTGAACGTTTTTCAAATATATTACCCGTCCATGTACGCCACGTGTTAACAATACTTTATGCATTATCTAGGTTAGGGTACAAGGTATAGTCACCCTTTGACTGAAATCGATCCGCTAGACGCAATTTGCTTTGCGAAATGTGAACGTTTATTTCCTGCAAAAAATTAAAATCTTCGACAAAAAAGACGTGAAAAAAAAGATTAATATTAGGGATAAATAAATAATCGATTGTCCTCGTATTTTTAAATTGCACTAATTCGTACACATTTTATTTTTTATTTCTTATTCCATTAAGAAATATTTTTTCTAATAGCTTATGAACTCACTCAATGCGATCCCAAAATTAATTTAGTTTTATTCCAGCCATACTTGCATTAATTTAATTTTTGAACT